CATATGACGACTGTCAGTGAATATGATCATGTTTAACAATGGAAGAATGTCCATGCCAATTAGGCTTCCTTGTGAATTCGGCCCCACCCAAAAAGATGTCCATAAGACTTCATCTTCATATATTTGCAGTGGAACTTGAATACTTTTGCGAAATTTTGTGATACCACCTCCAACACCTTTAACTTCAATAGTTTCATCTGTTGTAGGTAGGTTCAAATCTGTTATTGAAATTGAGGCGCCTGTGTCAACCAAAACATCACATGGGTGGCCCCCTATTAATGCATTAACGAAAAGGCGATTGTCTTTTTTCTTACTAATACAGGGGGCCGCTAATTCCTATTGCGGACGCATAATTCCCTCAATGAGCTGACGGACTTGTGCTTCAGTCAACGTCTTCTCTTGAGAATTTTCATTATGGTCTTTGGTACTGACCTGTTTAAATGATGGACCTTGACCTTCTGCTCCACCTCCTTTAGCCCAGCAATCTCGTCTAACGTGTCCACGTTTTCCACAATTGCTGCAGAAAACCATCTTATTCTTTGTGTCTTTGTTGTATTGAGCTATCGCCACTCCTCTTCGGTATGGCTTGTTTCCTTCTTCTTTGTTTGACCTCATAGCCATCTCCAAACGGCCAGCCCATTGCATGATTTGGTCAAATGTCTCACCTGGGTTGACTCCAAGTGATAAGGCTTGTTGGTATTTTGGGCCAAGTCCATCCACAAGTGTGTCAATGAACTGTACATCATCTCTGTCAGGTTGTTTCTTAGCACAGAGAGCCCATCTCTCATAAGCATTCCACTTACGTAGAGCATACTCATCTGGAGATTCATCATCCTTTTGCTTAATCAATGTCACTAATGTGAAGGGAATTTTACCACTGCCCAAAATTTCCTGGATTTCTCTTCGGAATACATCTAAGGCTTGCAAAGACCCAGGGGTCGTCCCTGGTCATCAACCCACAAATCTATCCATTGGGCAGTTGTTATTGAAGCTGGCAAGCGTTCCCATCTGTCTCTTGGGATTTTAGCTTTCACAATGGTGTGAATGTCTCGTAGTGTCATTTGATGTGCTTCGACAAGAGAGTCTAATTCTCGCCAAAACTCTGTGTTTGGATCTTGTCTCTTCAGAGGAGGCAAGGCTGTGAGAATGGCTTGTCGTTCAACTGGAGTGAATGGTCTCTCTTCTGTCATTAATTCAGATCCTTCCTTTTTAATTACTGGTGAAGAAAGTTCAGGACCGATCTTGTCAATTGTGATCATGTCGTCATCTCTTGTCTCATCACCCCAGTCGGATCCATAATTACAAGCTGGTGTACAGCGCAGCATGTCTCTGTTGGGATGAACTGTTTTAGATCTTGTTATTATTGGAGCTGCTTGTGCAGATGCAATATACATCTTGTCAACTGGACCATTTGATCTCAAAGCTTGAGGCTGTGTCAGTGGTTTAGAGGAACTTGTACATTGTTCAGGCAAAACTGGATACATTGGGTTGTAAGGAGGAGGCGTTACAGTGGTTGCAGATTTCACTGGTGCTTGTGAATATCTCTTTTCAGCTTCAGTTATTATATTTGTCCAATCTGGATCAAATGAATTATCATTGGTTGTGTTTTCTTTATCTGAACAGTTAATAGACATAATTTTGTTCAATTTGTGAAATGCTTCAAATTGAGGCTTCATTGCTTCAAAAAGTGGGGCTGGACATCCATCAATGCCACAGAAGATTCCACCTTGTTTCACAATCCAATGAGCTGCCAGTATTGGAAATGCTTTTGACTTGATGGAGTCTTTTTGCGAATCAAACCAGCTTAGCTGCACATCCAAAGATGCATTAACATCCAGTCCTTTTTTCAAAAGCTTAGCTTGCTTTTTCTGTTTTCTTTTTAAATACCAATCAGCTATTGTTCGGCTGTTAAGACCACTTTCTGCCATTGCAAATTATTTGTCACTCTGTGACTGTGCACTCAAACAGCAGGGATATTTTGGGAGTGAGTGTGTGTGTGTGTGTGTGGATGTATATCTACTGTGCGTGAATTCCAAGGGGGGGGGGGTCCCTCTGCTTCTCTCTCTCTCTCTGCTTCTCTCCTTCTCTCCCTTTCGCCTTCTCTTATAACTCAAAGAACAAAGAAGGGGAAAGGAAAAACAAAAACAAAAAAACAAAACAAAACAAAGTTAACTCTAATAATTTGTTTTCTTTGTGTATTTGTTTGCTCTATTTTTATTTTTAAATTTTATTTAGTTTATTTGAAGTTGCTCTCAGATCAACCTCTTCCTCTCAATACTGAACAGCTTATTGTCAAAATCGAAAAAACACACAATTCTAGCTCCTATTTCCATTGATACCCATCTTCTAAGGGCTCAATCAGCGTGTTTAAAATTTTAGGGCGCCTGTATTTCTAAATACGGAATCCTGTGCGTCCTATAGCACAGACCCGCCACTTTAAACCGCTATAAATCACCGCTTTGACACACTATCCTCGTTTTCTAAAACGATTCTTCGGTGTGTTGGAAATATTTTAGAGATTAATCTGCCATCAGTTTTTACAGTCTCGCCATATTCCAACCACCTTCCAGTCATGCCAAGCAAATTGCTAAATCGCTTTACTGCTATTCCAAATATTTGACTAAATGGTCTTTTTTCTAAAAAAGATCCACTTTTCCTAAAGTCTTTTCAAAAATGAAAAAGACTTCCCCAGCATCATTCAATATTTCAGAGGTTTACTGAACAGAGCAACTCAAATAAGCCACATCAAATTCTAACTATTTAAATTATTTTCCTTTTGCTGACACATATATTCATTGGCAAAACAACTGGTACTTTAAACAACACAGTTCTTTTAAGCAGTTTCAGTCAATGTCCAATCATCAGGCAGACTTCAAATTATTTTTTAGAATAGGAAAAAGTCTTACCTTGAATGATTGAGACAAATGCCTGAATGCTATCCTGTTCGTGACGCCAAATGTAGACTTGGAATTAAAGCCTCTTGTGTTTCCCCGTTATTATTCAATTTACGGAACCGGACACCAGTTATCTTGCCAAGAAAGTTTTATTATATATTATATATGTCAGGAGAGAAACTTCATGATGTTGTGTTCATGCCTGGTCTATGCGTTTCTCCATGTTCCTCTACCCTCTCACCCGGTCATGCCTACATGTTTCTCTAAGGGTGGTACAATGTGACATTGAGTTTTTATACATCACACAGTCTTACAGCTTCCTTGTAAGGTAACAAA